TCATTCCAAATATTGAATTAATATCATCGAATCAAACTTATGCCTCATTAGTGCAGTTAATAGAAGATCATGTTTATGATATAATAATAGGTGATGTGACAATTACTGCTACAAGAAGAGGAAAGATTGATTTTTCAAATTCTATATTTAATAATTCTTTACATATTATTATGCGAAAAACTTCCGATATTAATTTCGATCTCTTTGCATTCATGAAACCATTATCATTTAAGCTTTGGTTATTAATCTTGGGTGTTATTATTTTTGCTAGTATTTTATTCTGTTTATTCGAAAGAGAGAATATTGATCCTTACAAAGAAAAATCAATAATTTATTTATGTGCAATGAGTATTTGGTATGTTTTTGGTAATCTTGTAGGATATGGTGTTGATTCTTTTCATGCTGAAACACCCGGTGGACGTTTGTTAACTGCTGGTTTATATATCTTATGTTTGGTATTAGTTGCATCATATACTGCAAATTTAGCATCTGAGCTAACAATATCAAAATCAAAGAATGTTATTTCTGGAATCAATGATATTAAAAATGGAAAAATACTATCCAATCGTATTGGTATTCTTGTAGGTACAGCTAGTGAAGACTATTATTTAAGAGAAATCTCTGGAGGTAATCGAAATTATTATCCATTAAAGTCTCGACAAGAAATGTATAATGGTTTATTAAATAATATAATTGATGTCTCTTTTCATGATGCGGGTGTTGCAGAATATATAACTAATAATATATATTGTGATTTAACATTGATTGGTGAAGGTTTTGATCAAGGTGCATTTGGTATTCTTATACCTAAACAATGATTATATGATCAAGACTTAGATGTTAATATATTATCACTAAAAGAATTAGGTAATCTTGATACTTTGAGAAGAAAATGGTTTCAAGTAAAGAAATGTTCTGATTCATCGGAGACACCTAGGGCAATTGGAATTGAATCATTGAGTGGATTATTCATAGTGTTCGGAGTGATTTGTGTTCTATCATTATTATTATTTGCATGGAAGAAACGACATCACTTATGGAGAAAAGCTAAACAACCTCAAGATGATACGCTACTCTTGTCAATACACGCGCAATAACTGTGAATTATGTGTATATCCCAAATAAACTTGCTATACGATAAATCAATATGTATGTGAAATAGTGACATGTGTGAACACTGAAGATCACTACTTTATTATCTGATCTTATTTCTTTCAAATCAATTAAATTTCTGTTAATGTAGGTTTTCTGTTATTTTTTATTTTTCATGATGAATCAACACAATAGACATTGATCACAAGAAAATATAATATACAGTATTTGTTTGTCATATGTATAGATTGCATGAAGGTATAATATCTCGTTATCATTGTCAGTTGTGTATTTCAACATGAGTTCTTTATTCCTACTTATATCAACGTAGAAATTTACGCACTCATATATGACTTTTTCTGTTAAAATTGAATATTGAATTACAAATAGTAGACAAAAACAATATTTTACATATTGCCTTTCAATGCGTTAAGCAATGATAGCCAAAGTTGAATTTCAAATCTCAGAAACATGAACTGCCAAATATCATGTTCGAAGAGTTACACATTGTGAAGGCAAGTTCAATGAAAAATGATGTTCGAAGTTTTTGACAGTTCTTCAGTGAAGTATTTCCAGTGCATAAGTACGTTATGTTTGTCTAAGAAGAAAAAACATTCGATTAATTTGTCAAGACAACAGTTCGGGATGTGGGGTGTGGGTGTTAATCTTCACATCATCAATACCCACATCCACCCATACCCTCTTGTTTTTAAATGTTTGAAACATTTCTAAGATTACGAAACACATTATTTGATAGAGAAATTCATGAACAATCTTTTGATAAAGGAACATGTTTGAATCAAGTGAGAAATGATGGAGAAATTTTGAAATAATTAACAACGCAATTATTCCTCGACCACCTATTATATGTATTGTGTCGAACAAAAAAGTACTGAGTTGTTATTGGCTTAGCGCATACTGAATGCTGATTGGTTTGGACAAACAAACAAACTTTTAAGGTATTTATCGAGCGTATAACCCTTTCTTTCAGAAAAGCGAATAAAAGTAAAAAATTGCACAAACAGAAGGATTATCGTTATCTTAAACAAGGTCAAAATCATGATTACGGCGCGCTAGAATCACTCTATCATTACCCTGAAGATTTTATTTTCATCTGTGTGAATACAACGTTAGAAAGATTTTTTTTTCAATGAAGAAATTTATATTCGAACACGTGAACAATCGAATATGCTTCAACAGATTTGATTGAAATTCATGAATGTTCTCGAAGGCAATAGTCAACAAACCTTGAATTTTAATATTCTTTTTTCTTTCTATATAATATTTGTTTTAATGCAAATGACTTTTTTTCTTCGTATGGTGGAAAACGAATAAATTCATTTTACACCAAAAAAAAAAAACTATTCGTTAGAAAACAAAGTGTCATTGAGTGTCATTTCAAAGAAAAAATTGCATTGCCAGTTTTTTCGAGCTATCCGTACGAAGAAATATGGCTGAATCAAATGTTGAACACAATTTGAAAGAAGGTTTTGTCGAAAAATGGGTATGGGTGTGGGTGTGGGTGTCATTAGAGAGTTGAGTATCCATACAGATACCTATACTGGCATTCACACCCACACCCCTACCCACCCACCCACACCCACACCCATCCTACCAACTGTTTCTTGTTGATTGTTTCTTCAAAATTAATCGATTCTTTCATTAGTTCCATTTTGTACATTTTTGATACTTCACTAAGTATCACTTTGATTTCCATTTTAGCATATTTTTCTCCAGGACAAACATGTCTACCCCGTCCAAATAGTGCTGCTCGATACAGATTACCATTGCTCTCTTCTCTCGGTGATAAATGTCTTGCAGGATCGATTTTTTTCCGGATTTAGATATAAATCCTTAGCATGAGTCATAGAAGCTGCAACAATATTTCCCGATGGGATACACTTTCCGTCTGATAATGAAAACTCTCGATCGGCATATCGTAAGCCCAATCGATAATTCGTACTACGTCGGAGAACTTCATGAATGCAAGCTTCAATAAATTGCATCGAATTCAAATATTCCATTGTGAGTGAATCAGTAGATGGTGCACGATCTATTTCATCATGTTGGTGACGAATCCATTCAATAAGTACAAACATTGCAGTTGCAGATGTAGTGAATCATACTGGCAAAAAGGTCTGAAAGCAATAAATGCTACAAATCTAGGTGTGAATGGTTGTTCACGTTTTTTAAGTTCTTCTTTTGCATATTTCACTGCGTTGTAAACGATGTCGACATCAGTAGGTTCAATGTTGTTCTCAATCATGTTCAAACAACTTTTGATATCGGGCATCATGAGCTCTACCCAACGTTTCTATACAGTATCTATTTCACTTCGCAATCCTAATCGCTTTTTTACACTACTTATAATTGGATTTAGAACATTCTTTTCGACATCAAGAGTACTAAAGAGTTTAATAAATTCCTCAATATGATCCTTATATATTCTTTGTGATAAAAAATTAGTCGAGTTTATACGTAAAATTAGTCAGTACACGAACTCGAAAAAATCGACTATAATTTCATCGCCATGTTCCATCCACAATTGGGGTGTGGGTGTGAGTGGATGAAAAAGCGGATCAACCTTCATAACTACGCCTCACCCACACCCATTTCATCACTTACCGCAACATGAAATATTTAAGAAATCAACCCATTACTTAAACATGTTTATTTCTAAATATTTTTTATTTCCACCTTAATATCTAATAGTGAACATATTCTCATTAGGTCTTAAAATCAATGAATGTAAAAATATTGAAAATAGATGTCTCTGTACATTACGTGTTCAAACAACACGTTTATTGTAAATGCTGCACTATCGTATTTTCTATTGCTCTAAAATTGATATATCAATTATCTTTTTATCTTGTGATATGACTAACTAATGTTGTACGTTGTCTTATTACTTCTTTTATATTTGTTGTTGAAAAGTAGTTATATACATCCTGTTTTCTGTCCATTTTTTTTTCTTTGTCTTTTGTTCTTATTCGTTCCGGTCTTTCACTTCTTTCTCTTTCCTTTGGGTTTTTAACATATGAACCAATATAAGGTACATTTTAAATAAATGTTAAAAAAAAGACATTCTAAACTTGTGGACTCTCTCTGTAAAGTTCTTTTCGTTTTCTGTTTTCTTTTCTCATTTTGTCAACATCAAGATAATGATCGTCAGTTATGGGCATAATTGAAAAAAAAATCACCTCTTTTAATTGGAGGAAAAGAGTACACATATAGCAATCATAAATGAATCAAAACAAAATGTTATTTTATGCTCGTGATGAATAAAAGTTCTACTCATTAGACTGTTAGTTTTTTTCTACATTGCATTCAATAATTTATTCGACGCTGTTACCAAGAAAGTTGGACAACTATTAGGTCGGTGAGATCAATGAATATTTTACGCAAAATTCTGCATTAATAAAACGCCTGAGTGATACCAATGTCTATATTCCGACTAAAATCTTCACTATTCTCACCATTGCAATAGCTGTCAAACCCTCTTCATATATTGTCAGTATACTCTCTGCCCATGTGAAAAAAATAAGGGAAATAATCAGATTAAAATCGATTAGAAAATGATTAACAATCAATTATAATCATACACCTTTAATCGATTTTAATCTGATTATTTCCCTTATTTTTTTTTCACATGAATGTGCACCATTCAACTAGCTGTTTTTCATGGTCAATGATTCGTAACTATCAGAATTAGAGGTGTGATAATTGATAAAATCAAATATAATGGTAATGTGCTGCCTTCTATACTTTTTAAAACTTCATTCTCTTCATTATGTCCTACCTTTGATTTTTCTTATAATCTATACAATGTATAGTAGCAAACTTATTAATAAGTTCTGGCTGCTGTTGTCTTAATTACGAACTGATTATAATTTAGATAGAATTTATCAATGTCACAAAACCATCGTATAGTGACAGTGTCGTCCATGCGGCATTTAGCTTCCATTGACCAAGATATTGAACTTAATAACACTCCTACGAATATCGGCGAAACTCAATGTATTGACTCGAATAAAATTTCCTCACGTGAAAAATGTAATTCTGTTACAAATTGGTACCACAAGACTGCAAAAATCTTTGCCTGTCTCAATATAGAAGAACGTGGTATTGAACGAGTACCGTCAGAAGATCGAACTGATTTGACAATTATCAACACAGCAATGATATGGGTAAGAAACTGACGAGTAACGACAGTTCAGTCATTCTCGATCTATTCTTCTGTAAAAAATACTTATCAAGACTATTGAATATCTGTTTATTAGGTCAGTGCAAATATAATTATACCATGTTTTGCTGCAGGTACACTCGGTCCAGCAGTATTCGAGTTAGATCTAAATAATTCTTTTGTAACCATCATCATTTTTAATCTATTGGGAACATTGCCAATAGCAGGCATGGCTTGTTTTGGTCCAGCATCCGGTCTACGTACAATGGTCTTTTCTCGTTATAGTTGGGGTTATTATGGTGCTTCGATAATGTCGATAGTTAATGTTATGTCAGCCATCGGTTGGGCAGCTGTTAATAGTATTACCGGTGCACAAACATTACGTGTTGTATTCAATGATTCATTTCCTATAACTGTTGGAATAATTATAATTGCTATTATAACGATGATCATCTCATTTATAGGTTATAAATGGATTCATATCTATGAACGATATTCATGGATACCAGTATTTATAGGATATTGTATATTAGCAGGAGTTGGTGCCAAATATTTTACAAATAGTGAAATGGTAATATCCATTAACAATGAAGAAGTCTAATCTCTAATGTGTTTGAAAAAATTCAGGATTATTTCATCCCATGTGAAAAAAAATCAAATTTTAATCAAAAATTTTTTGATTTAAAATCGATTAAAATGAGACAATTTTCATCAGATTCTAATCAAATTAATAATCAAAAAAAACTGATTTTAATTGATTTTTTACCGACTAATTGATTAAAATCAGTTTTATTCTGATTATTAATTTGATTAAAATCCGATGAAAATCGTCTCATTTTAATCAATTTTCTACAGATCATCCATTTTAATCTCTCATTACCTGTTAATCGATTTTCATCTATAACTACTGACTAACTGGTTTTTTAATCTCTTGCTATCTACTATTCAATTATAACCTATTATAACCTTTCTATAGATTTTAATCAATTTTCCTATGAAATTGCGAAAACTTGTGACTTTCTCGAGATTCGGACCCAGAACGCATATTTTTCGACCATTTTTTCTTATTTCTCATGTTAAGAAACTATGAAGTCACCGATGCACCAAATTTCGGTACTCAAAGTAAGTTTGGAAGTCCTATTTAAATTGTTTTCTTAGAAATTGCGCAATTACATTGAAAAATCGATTAAAATAGATTAGATAAAAATTAATCGATTATAATCGATTTTCTCTATGAAAAGATATTACCATTCATGCAATTGTAATAGATTTTAATCAATTAAATATAATTAATCGCTTTTAATCAATTTTTCGTATGGAAAACATTCATATCCATATAACTATAATTGATTTTAATCGATTTCCCCTATATGTGACATTAATATTCATATAACTGCAATGGATTTTAATCAATTAAACTAATATAACCACTTTTAATCAATATGTCATATGAACGACATCATAATTCATATAACTATAATGGGTTTTAATCGATTACAGTTTCATGAATAAAAGGCTTGTTGGCGCAGCTCCAAAGGAACTGAAATGTTAGACTTATGTATATTTTTCAGACCTGTTATCTTAATATGTCATCTGTAAACAGAAAAATTTCTGTCGACTAAAGTCGTTTTCATAACTCGTTGGTGACCAGAACCATAATTTATCATTTATTTCTACATTTGAAGCCGTAACTATCTTTTTCAATTGAGTACACCCTATTTTTTTATATTATTTTTGCTGTATACTCGATAATAATCATCTTTTTTGTTTGTTTTTTATTTGAAATTCTATTTTCACTATCAATTATTTCACAAATACGAGGTTATAACCCATGCAAAAAAATTGATTAGCAAAATAGATTAAAAATCGATTATAATCATAATATTTCAAATAACCGATTATAATCTGATTTTGTTGTGATTATCACTGCTTAAACTATTGATTAAAGGTATATGATTATAATCGATTTTTAGTCTATTTCTGCCCTTTTAAAGCTGATTTTTTACGTGTTTTTTTACATGGGAATAACTCACTTAATATGCATCAATCGTTCTTACGACAGTATTATACATCTCAATTAATTGATAAATCATGATAATGTTTATTTATGACGCTAGTAAAAGGTTGAATAGTCCTTCTTGTATTGATTATACCATCAGTCAGGCAGATTAACACCTATTATCATTCTTCATCCTAGATTTTTAGCATACAAGTTTAAGTTCTTAAAAAAACCGACGATTAATACTATTAAGAGTTTTAATAAGTGTGTATTAGTTTATTCAAATAATTATGAAAACATTGAAATATTGACTAGCAGTCTAACTCATATTATTCATACTACTTAACTCTTTTTCTATTCTTAAATAAAGCTGAAAATCTTTTTCCTGTGCGATTGGTGAGGTCTCTAATGGGAGTTGTGTCTGTAATGACGGGTATATCTGCGATGTTCTCTTTCTCCATTGTTAGATGTCTGTAATCGGAAAGGGGAAAGGAAAAGGAAAGCCGCCAATACTTGAACTGAAAACTTACACTGACTATTTTCTTCGAAAATATACGTGAGTTTCACAAAATTGATTAAAATCTATTAAGTTTTTAATTGATTATTTAGATTTCCTGAAATAAAATCGATTTTAATTGATTTTAGTTTCATCAACAAAAAATTGATTATAATCTATTAAATTTTTAATGGATTATTTGAATTTCGTGAAATAAAATCGATTTTAATCGATTTACACAAAGAAAATCTATTAAAATCAATTATTTTCTCAAATTTAATCAAAAAAATGGCGTATTTAATCGATTTTTTATAATTATTTAAAAAAAAATCAAATTTAATCCGACTTTTTCCGATTTTTTTACATAGGCTATCATCAAAGCGTAATTCGTTCTGTCAACATACTTTCTTGAGTTACATATTCATCACAAAAATATATCCACCTCACTTGATAAAATGCAAAACTATTTCCAATCTACTACTCTTTTTATCAACGTTTGGCACTTTTTTGAATAAAATCGATTTTCATAAAGTAAACCAGAGACCGATTAAGATCTGTTAGATTGATAATAGATTATTTGAGTTTCTTGAAATAAAATTGATTTTAATCCATCATAGTTTCATTAATAAAAAAAATTGATTAGAATCAATTAGATTTATAATGGATTATTTGAATTTCTTGGAATAAAATGAATTTTAATCGGTTATAGTTTCATTAATAAAAAATTGATTAAAATCTATTAAATTTATAACCGATTATTTAGATTTAATGAAATAAAATCGATTTTAGTCAATTGTAGCGTCATTAACAAAAAAATCAATCAAAACCTATTAAATTTTTAATTGATTATTTGAATTTCTTGGAATAAAACCAATTTTAATCGATCACAGTTTCATCAATAAAAAATTGATTAAAGTCTATTAAATTTATAATCGATTATTTAGATGTTTTGAAACAAAATCGATTTTAATCAATTAAGTTTTTAATTGATTATTTAGATTTCCTGAAATAAAATCGATTTTAATTGATTTACACAAAGAAAATCTATTAAAATCAATTATTTTCTCAAATTTAATCAAAAAATGGCGTATTTAATCGATTTTTTATGATAATTTCACAAAAAATCAAATTTAATCCGAAACTTTGCGATTTTTTTATATGGGTTCTCATATAGGTATTTCACAATGCAACAATATTCAGCAATAGTAGTACTTTTCGTCTTGAATTATCTTGTGTTCTAACTTTTGGTTCAATAATTTTTGGCACTGCATGTAGTTGGTGTCCATTTGCAGCTGATTACAATACATATTTTCCTGAAGATACAAGTCAATTAAAAATTTTTCTTCTCACTTATATTAGCAATTTTGTATCAATGGTTGTAATGCAATTACTTGGTGCAGCTGCTTATACTGGGACATATACAAATCAAAATTGGAAACAAGCATATGAAATAAATAATGTGGGTGGATTATTGGGTGCCATTCTATCACCTCTTCGTGGTTTTGGGAAATTTATACTTATTCTATTTTCATTGTCAATTGTTGCATGCAATATACCGAATCTTTATTCATTATCATTATCTACACAAGTTATTGCACCAATATTTAGTCGTATACCACGTTTTCTTTATACAATTATTGGTACTGCAGCCTATGTTCTATTAGCTATTGTAGCTGCAAGTAAATTTAATGATGCATTAACATCAGTTATGGGTATATCTTCATATTGGTCTGCAATATTTATGGTTATTGTATTTGAAGATCATATATTATTTCGACGTTGTTCATTTCGAAATTACAATTTTAGTATATGGAATTCTTCTAAACTATTACCAATTAGTTTAGCTGCTATTCTATCGGCATTAGTTGGTGTAGCTGGTATTATACTTGGAATGTCACAAATTTGGTTCAGTGGACCAATAGCAAAAGCTATTGCAGGAGATACGAATATCAAAGGTGCAGATATTGGTTTTGAAGCTGGATTCATATTTACAGCAGTTGCTTTTCCATTATTTAGACTCATTGAACTGTATTTTATTCGGCGATGACCATTTCTTTACATAATAAAGAAAAATGTGTTTCACTTCTATTTTATGTTCTTCTAGATTACTTCTAGGATAGGGTGGGTGTGGATGTGAGCGTTGGTGTGGGTATTTCTTGTACAGCTGTCCACACCAACATCCTAATTAGTTTTAAAAGGATGTTTTTTCTTACGCATTATTGAAGAAAAAGACATGCTCTGGTCTCCTCTTTCGTTTGGTAAAAATTACAGATCTCTAGCTGCTTGGGTTCTCAAGTTATTCAAAAAACAGAGGAGCACATTGTATTTTGAAATGGACAATAAGTAAAAAAAATTTTTAAACACAACTTTGCACTTTTCTACCTCCTGCACGGCATGTCAATTGTTGTTGTTTTGTATATATGAGTAGCGTCGATGCAAGTGAAATTTGTATTTTCTTGATAGAGCGAGAGTATTGGTTGTGTAAAGGATAAAAAAACCATTCAAAGAGAAACAGAGAAAAAAATACTGTGGCAAGAGCAGAAGGAAGAAAGAAAAAACAAAAAGTGAGTAATTGGAATTTCGTCGATTACTTTTGTTCGTTTTGAAGCTTCTTTTGCTGTATTAAAAGTATTACTAATGTGATGAAATAAAAATTTACACTTTTGCTTCATTTTAGTTTTGGGGTGTGGGTGTGGGTGGGTGTGGGTGGGTGTGGGTGTGGGTGTGTGGGGTGTGGGTGTAGGGTGTGGGTGTGAGTGTGGGGTGTGGGTGTGGGTGTAGGTGTGGGTGTGGGGTGTGGGTGGCTGTGGGTGGCTGTTTGTGTGGGTGTGGGGTGTGGGGTGCGGGTGTCGGTGTGTGTGGGTGTGAGTGGGCGTGGGTGTGTGGGTGTGGGTCGGTGGATGTGGCACTTCTTTTGACACACGCCTCATACCGACACACACACCCACCCACACCCACACCCACACACCCACACCCACACCCATACCCACACTCACACCCACACCCCACACCCACACCCACATCCACACCCCACCCACACTAACCCACACCCATACCACCCGCACCCACACCACCCACACCCACCGACACTCACACCCACACCCACACCCACCCACACCCACACCCACCCACACCCACACCCATCCTCGAACTGACACCCGCACCCAAACCCACAACTACTCCCCACACCCCACACCGAAACAGAAACCCACAGCAACACCACACACTTTATCTCACACCCACATCCTACATCGCACACCCACAGCCCACATCCTAATCGATACTCACACTCCTCACCGAAATCCACATCCACAACCCACACTCCACACCCACACCGACAGCAACACCCCATACCCCACTCTCACATCTACATCTACACCCTCACTCACATCTATACCCACCCCTACGTCTACCCCAGGCCAACGATTAGAAATGTTTGATGCTGGATTGAAGCCGACCAAACTACAAGTGCCAAATGATATTAAAAGCATTGATACTGTTTATTGATTTTTGCTTATCTGCGTCTCGGAAAAATTAAAGCAGATTTCGCACGCATTGCTTTACTTTCTTTTAAATTTACTACGCCTTTTCAATCAGGTGATTCAAATCACGTGCTATTCTGCCATATGGCCTAAGAATACATCGCAATCGCTGCTGATAGCCTTTTTTTTATACACATGATGCCACTTTTCAATCAGTAATGGATCAAGAATAAGCCCAATACTCCTCCTACCACGCACAGTTTCAGAAAAATATCGTCCTATTTCATATTAGGGGCGCACCAGTTCCATTTCTAATCAATTGCATTTCCAATTCTAGAATTGGAATTTATTGAAGTTGACCGGAATCGGTATCGGCATTGACTGGAACTGACTGGAATAGATCTGAAATTGACCTGAAATTGACTGGAAATCCCCAGTAAGTGATCGAAATCGGCTTTGACTAGGGGTTAGAAATCAAAGATGTTGGTGAATAATTTCTTTCCACGCGACCAGTCAATCCGACCCGCTTCACGGATTGAATAATTTTTGCGTTCTACCCATGTAAACAAAGTTTCCTCCATAATCGCTAAATAATCGATTAAAAATGGATAATAATCATACGATTAAAATAAATAATTTAAGCAAAAATAATCACAAAAAATCAGTACGAATTCGATTATTGTGATTAATTTCATTATAGTTGACTTTTGACTCAATTTCCAATCCATCATAATCAAATTAATCGCAAAATCGATTTCTTACTGATTTTTTTGCGTTTATTTCTGCTTGAACTATTGACATTAATCCTATGATGATAATTGAATTTTAATCGATTATTAGAGATTATTCAAGAAACTTTTTTTTACATCAGTACCCGTGCGCTACTCTACAAGCACAAGAACCATTAATCAGTCACAGACTGCTCCCCCGGCTCACCCCCACATTAATTCAAACTTTACTAGTACAATATTTACGTAAGAATTCATTAGGTTTCTTATCGGCAGATTCATTTTTTTATTTGTGAAACTCAGATTTTTATAATTAGAATATTGTTTTTGACTTCTGAGCATGGACATAACTATTACAAAATTTCAATAAAAGTGAAAGGCAAGCAATGGTGAAGTAAAAGTAACACTATATAGTCGAGCATGCGATGTTAATAAAAAAGATACAACTAAAGGGTGGTCTGGATGTAAATTCTTTTTACTGAAGTCTTTAACCAAACTGAAAGAGAAAAGTACATTTATAATGAGAGATACGAAAGTCTTGCATTAATCGCTTTTTAATAATGCTGCGACGGAATCTTCTAGACACTTTATTGTTTCTGTGTTCGAACAAACAACGTGTCCAGTGGGAAAATGCAGTAAAGAAAAATTTGCTTCGAAATTTTTTCAAAGATCAAATACATTATAATATATAAGACATCAGAAAGCTATCCAGCAACATTGATCTTAATGTTTGTGAAACAAGATCTGAAAGTACTGTTCAAGTATATAGGGTAGAAATTTGCATAAACCCTCCCCTCTTCATACAGACGGGCTCCAGAGACCATCATAGACCGTTACAAACGGGCTCCTGACACAATCACAGATAGTCATATACGCCCTTCCGATCCATCACAGACCGTGATAGGCAGGCTCTAGAGACCATCTCATATCGTCACAGACGGCTTCCTGATCCATCACAGACCGTGGCAGACGGGTTTCAGACGCGACACAGGCCGTGGCAAACGGGCTCTAGAGATCATCACAGACCATGACAGACGTCCTCTGGACCGGTTACATACCGTGACAGACATTTCTGATGCATAACGACCGAGTATATATGACGAAACTCTGATGAAAGTAAGTAAACTGCTTCCTTTTTGCAGTTGTGGAAGATTAAGTAAAAGTTGATGAAAAATGGGTCCACAAATAGATCTAATAAAACGATATTCTGGTGATTAATAACAAGAGGTATATCGTTTTTCACATTTTAACCCTGCAGGGATTCTGTGTGAAGAGTTTTTTTAACAAAATATATTTCTTTAAGCTTTTTTATAATTCACTTTCGGTCTTTCAGATTATCGAATGTATACAGATGTGCATTAGAATAAAGGCGTTCCTGTACTATTGAAAATTATCTTCCATACAAGAGAATAGATAGCAGACAAAGCTACTAAAAAACTTAATTTAATCTGCTTGGGATTTATGAACCGACAGCAATGTTAGCATGAATATCTAACGAACAGTCTCTATTTTATATCAAATGATATCTTTTCGCAGAGAACTCAATAATCTGTCCTTTTTTACATAAAATTTATAGCGTCTGACAATCTCTCTCTCAGGATAAGCTTTATTCTTGCGACTTTAATCTACAGAGATCAAAAGCATTGATACTAGAAGGTATCAACAAAATGTTTATTTGGACTGTTATAACAGATGTAGAGAGTTTTTTTTACATCAAGCGTGCTATATCACTATCTTGTAGAACTCGCATTCTACGAATAAATATATAACCGATTTAATGCGATGAAACCTGTTCTAAGTTCAAAATAGGTTGCAGAAGAGCTTCCGAAGCCTTCAGTTAAAATATTATTTCTTTTGTATGAAGAAGGGACGAGAGGAGGGGGGGGGGGTATAAACCATGTATTTTGGCCTTTTTGATGTTGCAGACCAAAGCTAATTGAATCATATATAGAATAAAAGATCATGAACTCCCGATCGTTTTGTTGCCAAATTCGAGGTATTTTGAGTGGATTATAGATATAAAGGGAGTCTATTTTCACTACATACTAAATGACCAGTTTAGTCGCTGACACTCGCCAATAGTGTCGACATCCGTTTGAAAGAAAATAAATAGAGATAAATGGTGAGGTGGGTGTGGGTGTGGGTGAGGATGAGAGTGGGTCTGGATGTGGGTGTGGGTGGCTGTGGGTGTGAATGTGAGCGTGTGGGTGTGGGTGTGGGTGTGGATAAAGAATACAGTCACACCCACACTCCCAACACCCACGCCCTCATCCCATACCTCACATCCTTTCTTATACTGATTCCGAATATACTATTCATTTTTGTATATCACGGTAGTATAATAGTGAAAATACCTAAATACGAGCATATTTTTACACGGTTTTGCCGTAGGAGACGAAAAAAATCGAAAGAATGCGATTTTATCAACAATGAAGTGAAATCTAGAAAAACAAAATGAGTACGTTGAAAGGTCAATGTCTAGCAGTTCTAATGAGATGCGACACTTGGTTCTGTCTCTTTGGACAAAAAGCTAGAAAGCTTTACAAAATTGTCTATGGATACTACAAAATGTGTTCGGATGGTCCTATTCGACAGGCTTATGCCGGACGGCACTTGCACTTCAAGCCCAATCAAATAACAGTTTTAAACTCAGTTTTCAATATCAAACTAGAAAATAATCCTTTAGAAAAATTATTGAAATGTAACTAACAAAAAACTTGAAAGTTTCTCAGAAAAAAACCTTTAGCTGGTTTTAACTGTTTTTTCACGACCTCAAAGTTTCTTGGATTTTTTTGCTAAAACGTAATCCAATCAATTTTAAAAAAATATATTTGTCA